ACTACGATGTCCTAAGCGGCGACCTATTTGACCAATGTAACATACTACGATGTCCTAAGTGGCGACCTATTTGACCAATATAACATACTACGATGTCCTAAGTGGCGACCTATTTGACCAATATAACATACTACTTATTTATTTATTTACCCTGTTTGATATGTGTGTCATTGCTCTAATTCAATGTGTTTTTATAACTTGTTATTTCTTCAACCTTTGATCAACTAATTAATTTCAATTGTTACTTTTCATACCTGTCTTCGTTTTATTTTATATTAACATAATGTTCTTGAGCCTTCGAGGATGCGCTCTTTGTTCGTTTTTCCTTTTATTAAACCCTATATTTTCTAAAAGCACATATCTCCTCACTGGAAATACGATTCTTTGTTTTATCTAATGTTTATTTAAGAAACTATTTATTCTTCTTTGTGACACTGATGTAGCTAACTTCACTGTTTGATAAATGTTATTTTTTAAATTCAACGTGTTCGGGGTCTTTTTTTATATTTATTATTAGACAGTAATTTGCCAAATCATGAAATAAGCTTCCACACATTTTGGAAAATTAGTGATAATACAAAAAGGAAAATACAACTATGACTTAGAAACATCAATCATAGTAAAAACGGAACTTGGATATATCATAGATTTATGCATCACCCTGTACTACAAAATCTTCATTAAATACAACACTTTAATGGAATTTCTTATCTCATTTCGCAAAATGCACCACAGACATGCAGTAGCTCTTTGGTGAAAACTTAGATTTCATACCACAAACCGAAACTAATTTTGCACTCTGTAAGCACATGTGATATAATTATACATGTAGATAAGTTCACTGACCCTTAATTTCAGAAAAGGCGTTTAAAACAACGGATGATTATCTGTAATAGATAGGTTCGCTCTCTTGTATGTATATGTGTGTGAGTGACGAGGTTGGTCTATTAATCACTGGACGTCATAACTGGAAAAAACAAAAAACGATGATGATGAGTGTCAGAGGCTACGATGACCGGGTGTCTTGGCTTTAATTGTGCATGATCTCGAGGAAAACACCAGAAAAAGTGAGTTATAGCTGCCGAACGAACATTTTTTTACCAAGTATGAGCCACAGGATTAAGTTACTAGCGGGAAATGCTGCTTTCAGTTACATTAAGCTGCACGCGCCATAATTATATAGATAATGTGGCTCCAGGTCGATGATCACGATAGCTGAACGCACGGTGGCGCTGCTTCGTCCTTGCATGCAGTGTTTGAAAACGTACAGCAGCTACAATTGAAAGGTGTTTATTTAATAAAATATAATAAACAGTTTCCATGATAATATTCAACAAAGTTCATCATAGAGACGGATCACAACCTCAGAGGGGATTGGGGAACATGAGCTAGAAAATGACAAATAACTAGTGTTGGTCAGCAATAGTGGACACGAAGTAGATTAAAGAACTAGTAAGCCATGAACTGGTAAAAGCAACGTAGGTTAAGGTTAAGGATTAGATAGTGTTAGCACTAGTGGACATGGTCTGATGATGACAACGTCTAGAATTTGTTGGTCAGTGTTACTGATCAGGAACTAAACTGTGTTAATTAGAGTTACTGAAGAAGAGCCGGTGAAAACAATGGTTGTTAGTATGAGTGAACAAAGTCTCAAAGGTATTTAAGGAACAAAGATTAAATTGTGTTCGTCAGGAGTAATAAACCCATGTTGGTGAGGGCAAGGAAGATACTGTGCTAATCTATGCCAATTGACAAATACTGGTGAGGACACAGACTGAATTATATTGGTTAGTGCTAGTGAACACAGTATTGAGGACAAGTACAAGAAAGTATTGGTCAGTGTTAATGGATGTGGACTACTGAGAAAATGGGCCGAACAATATTGATCAATTCTGGTGAACACGGATTAATGGAGACAATGACAATATCCTGTTGTCCAGTGCAAGTGATGACAGACTAGTGAAGATAACGACTATATTTTTTGGTCATTGCTGATAAACAATGATTAGACAGTGCTAGCTCTGTGGGTCACAGACTGGTGGAAACAGCAGTGGTCAGCGCTAGAAAAAAGGTATTGATAGGGGGCGACACAAATTGGAAAATGAAGGTTTTATGTAAATTGATGACCAGAATTAACAGTCACAAACTGGTGAAAGACAACATGAGTGAGAGGGTGAAGATTTGGACATTTAGGACTCTATATTGTGGGTTACATTATTGAAGAAATACAAGAACCAACCAATACCACTCAGAACTAACAGTAACAAACTGGCTTAGCAAGTATATTGAATAAACAATTGATATTCTGATCACTTCCTTTGAGAAATATATTTTAAACCGAAGAAGGGAGTAGAATTCAAAGCAAAACCCAATAAATCCTAAAAAAACACCTTTTATGTTCTAGTAATAATAACAAGGAAGTTGTGTTTGACTTAATAATTATGTTTTTTCTGAAGCTTACTTCTCTAGCATGTGTTTATGTTAAAAGAAGAACCGACATTCATTTCAGAAGAAAGCAAAACATATTCAAACTTTAGAATAGAGCCTCTGGGAAGTTAGTCATTCAGAAATGTTTTAAACACGTTCGAACCCCGCCATGGCATTGGACGTTTCGCATGAATAGAGGTTCGAGCGAGTTAAATACATAGGAAGCTGTGTATATTTAGTTGCCTTCAGGGTTATGACTAGAAAATGTTATAGTTCACATAGTTAATGTAAGTATGAAGTAGTGTAATATTAAATTCGCAGTCAGCAGCTGTGCGTGATTTAAGTCTTGAAAAAGTATGTTAATTTTGTTTTCAAGAAGAAGAAAAAAAGCTCTCTGTCATGTTATCACGTTTTAAATAATGTGCAGCAACTCGTGTATTCATACAGTAGAGCATGGTGTTGCCACGCCTCTTGAGGTGAGAATACATTTTAGAATATGCATAACATTATACTTTAATAAATGAGAAACAACGTTTTAATGAAGTATATAATTTCAGACATCAGTTCGTTTGCTTTTAATCGCAAATCTGCATAATGGGCTGCCTACCTATGCTCTTAACACACGAGTATCCAAACCTGATTTTTTAGTGTTATAAGCCCTTAGACTTGTCGCTGAGCCACGGCAGGGAGGGGAGGGATAACTTCAGGTACGATTAACTTAGTCTTACAATACCACATAATAATGTTGCTTTTTCATACTTTTCGCGGTCAGTTATCCAAAATACTATCAGTATATAGACATCCCTAATTCTGTACTTAAGGTAGCTAGTCAACAACACACCCATCGTCAGCTCTTCGGCCACTTTTCTCTGAACGAATATTGGGACTTGACTGTCACTCTGCACTCACGGGGTTTTTGTAATAACAGGAAGCAAGCCATGGATCCTTAGATTCGTAGTTCAGGTACGTTAATC